GCCAGCAAACTCGCCTGACCTGAACCCCATAGAGAATCTATGGGGCATTGCCAAGAGAAAGATGAGAGACATGAGACCGAACAATGCAGAAGAGCTGAAGGCCGCTATTGAAGCATCCTGGTCTTCCATAACACCTCAGCAGTGCCACAGGCTGATAGCTTCCATGCCATGCCGCATTGAGGCAGTAATTGCTGCAAAAAGGGGCCCAAACCAAGTACTGAGTACATATGCATGCTTATACTTTTCAGAGGTCCGATATTGTTCTATGTACAATCCTTGTTTTATTGATTGCATGTAATATTCTAATTTTCTGAGATTGTGGATTTGGAGTTTTCATGAGCTGTAAGCCATAATCATCACAGTTATGACACATCACGGCTTGAACTATCTTGCTTTGCATGTAATGAGTCTATCTCATATATTAGGTTCACCTTTTAAGTTGCATTACTGAAATAAATGAACTTTTGCACGATATTCTAATTTTTCGAGTTTCACCTGTATATCTGGTCTTGGTCACTTTACATTTTAAGCTCTTCCTTGCATAGCAGGAATGCAAAACCTTTGGCACTTCATAAATGGTTAACGTATCTCCTAGCAGCCCAGCTAGCATGGTCAGTGAAAAGGGATATTGAGAGTTGCACTTCACCAATATCTGTACAGTCAAAGTTTCTCTATAGCTTGGCTTTGGATATTTAGGAACAATTGTTCTTATAACTAAACTATTTTTTTGGTTCCTGAAATAAATAAGCTTAGAGAAGATTGTTGCCCAAATTTTCTATACTACTGAGGAAGCATTTGATAGAGCCATCCTTTTAGAGGTTTTGGGGGAAATGATCAGATACTATGTCCATAATATAAATTGTATTCTTTTCACCCATATCAATTCTAAAATCGAAATCCAGATAATAGATTATTCTGTCTGTCTATCTATGACTTTAAATAGGCCTACAACTGTCACAAGTAGCAATCACATCCTGAACTACATTGAATAATTGAATGCTGAAGTTTCTCAAATCCAAAATACTTGGAGTGCCAAGTATCTTCAAGAACAAAGGTGTAATATCAGGCAATAAACAGGCTGATTTTTTTTATCAATAGAATCTCATTCCTATTACATTCCAGCAACGCCAGATTTAAACAAGTGGAATAAGAATTTGTCAAGCAGATTTAATGATTTTTATAAGCACTACTATTATGGATTTTTATTTTAATCTTATTTGAAAGGAAAATCTGAAAGAACATGTTTTTATGAGAAAGGATAATGGCACACACCACTCCAGGCATGTCAAACTGTCGGGCCGTGGGCCGGATGCATCATACTGAAAACGCGCCCACTCCATTGCCAGCAATGGGGGAAAAGTTGCAATACGTCGCGAGTTTGACATGCCTGCCCTATTCTGACAATTTACTTGTTGATCTTAGTCTCATGCAAACATTTGTAATATGGAGTTTCACAAATAACTCATGAATGTAATTGATTTATTGTCAGGTCTCTGTTTTTAGAAACACTTTTCCTATATCATGATTCTCAATAAAGGCTATTTTGAGTTTACTGTAGTAACCTTTTCTCTACTATCCTTTATTTGAAATGATTTGAATGTCATGAGTAGCTTTTATGCTGTGTTTACTTTGATAGCTGCCCTTTTGCTGGAATTTGAAATGAATGAGACTAATTTAGGCAACCTGAATAACAATAAGGCTTGCCTCTCTGTGTCTTAATAGTATGTGAACATATCAGTATTTTTTTCTAGAGTTACAATTATGAAAGACAAAGACACACGAAGAAGTAAAGGAGTTGCATTTATTTTGTTCTTGGATAAAGAGTCAGCACAGAACTGTTCTCGGGCACTTAATAATAAACAAGTAAGTGACAAGGATATATTATGAAGTAACTTTTGAGATATTCTGAATGCTAAAATTGTGTTTGGTTTTTTTTAGCTGTTTGGAAGAGTAATAAAAGCAAGTATCGCTATTGATAATGGAAGAGCTGCAGAATTCATCCGAAGGAGAAATTACTATGACAAGTCAAAATGTTATGAATGTGGAGTGAGTAAATGTTGATGTCCCAACAAGATATCTGTTTTTGTCATGTTCTTATGCTAATGCCATCCACTGAAACCATATACTTGGGTTATGAATTCGTACAGTCAGTTCAGATAACTTTTTAAACTACATACAATGCTACATTTTCTAAGAGTAATTATAAATGAATACAAATCTACTATTTACAAGGTAAATTTATGAAGAAATAAAAAGTAATATTCTTCATCTGCTAGCCTTGTTCAATAGTATTTCTTTTCTCTTAAGGAAATAGGACATTTAAGTTATGCATGTCCTAAAAACATGCTAGGAGAGCGTGAACCTCCCAAAAAGAAAGACAAAAAGAAAAGAAAGAAAGTAATTGAACCAGAAGAAGAAATGTGAGTAAAATATGTACAACACATACTCCTATTCTCATTTACTGATTTAAATGCCTACTCTATACAATATATGTGGGTTTTTCTGTTTCCTTTGTGCTATTAGAGAAGAAGAAGAAAGTGAAGATGAGGGTGAAGATCCTGCACTTGATAGTCTCAGTCAAGCTATAGCTTTCCAGGTACTAAAATATTTAATGAATCATTCACCTCAGAACTTGCAGTTAATGATTGTTCTAATTTCTTTTTTTCGTATAATAATTACTAAGATTCTCATAGGTTTTACTCATTCAGCTGAATGTATCTCTGCATATACAGTATATTATGATTTGTAACATGGTTTCTAAGAGAATGAATGAACTTTTATAAATACGGCCTTTCTCCTCTCAGGCCACCAATTGGTATACATTGTTATTTGCTTCTATCTAAAGCTGAATTAAGCATATTTAGTTTTCCCCTTTGGTTTTAAACAATGGCAATTAATTAAAAATAGCATGATTTAATTAGGGTTTTTGGAACATAGCTTCATATAGTATTTTGGGAAATACAGTATGATCAAAATATAACTGCAATATTAATTATTTATGAATTAAGATAGTAAATCAGTATCTCTAAACTGTTCATGATTTTCAGAGGTGGGAACATGACTGAAAGACAACCTACCTTCTATTTGGGAGGGGGAACTATTTTTGGTATAAGCTTTATTGATTCTGAATTATGGCAGAATATTTATTTCTTAGTTTTGAGTTTATTATTTAATAAGCAGGTTGATTTAATTATCAAATAGTAGAGTCATGGTTAAACATACAGACTAGATTCATTTATCAGAAGAATATATGAACATACTATGCATGAACAGTATATATGAATACATATGAACATATCCTGTGCACACATGAACATATCCATGTGTTGTGTGATTAAGGAATGAGCACATATGAACATACTGTATATCACAAGGATACATGAACATACATCAGAAGGAACTACATTGACTAGGGTATGGTTTTTTTCTTGATTGTTTTCGTCTGGTATTAATCCCTCCTTAGGAGCATGGTGGCTTGCATGGTTAGGATGCTGGGTTGACAAGCAACAAGTTTGTGTTCGACACCTGAGTGCTATCATGGAGCGAGGTGATCTCCTGTCCTTTGTCCAGTTCATGCTGGGGGCATGAAAGGAACCCCCAACTGGGTGTCCCCTGGGCAACAATGTCAGCAGCTAATCCTTTCAACCTGGAAGCGCCTTGGTGCCTCCAACACAAGTGCAGTGAGGATCCTTGCTTATCTGGCTGTTGGCTGCAGGAAAGGATGTGTTGTGGTCTGTCTGTTTCCTTAGCCTTTTTATTGTCTCTTTTGAATGGCATGTAAATGTGGTTTATTGTGTCTATTGATGGCTGATATGTCAAGAGTGCCAAACTTCTAGGAATTCCCTAGCTTTTGGGAATATAGCTTAGTCTGGTATGCTCAATTTCCCAGCTGAGTCTATCCATGTGTTGTGACACTAAGGAATTTTGATTGTGTCTTCTGACTGCTGGTTGGTGCTCATGGATATGTTCTAATGTTTCATCTTTCTTGTCTTTATTACACAGTGACTATTACAGTCCTTATAATGTATGTTGTAGGTAAGTCCTGTTCTTGGGCTACTGGGTCTTTTGGTTTACTTATGTTTTGGAGGGCTTTAGTTATTTTGTATGTTATGGTGATGCTGTATGTTTATAATTGTTTGTTGTTTCTGAGATATTTTGATGTGTGGCAGTGTTATCCTTTTCATAGCCAGTGTTGGTAGTGCTATAGTAGGTTGAGGGGTCAGGCTTTTTTCTTTTTAATAAAGTTGAATGGGTATCCATTTTGTTGGAAGATGAAAAGGCAGTCTTTTTCCTTTTTTGGGTTGCTGGAGTGCATTTGGGATCATTTGAATAATGTTTTTACACAGTTCTTCTTGTGAGGTTTGGTTGTTACTTTAATAATGGAGCAGTTGGATAGTATGGGGTGTTTTAAATAGAGTTGTATTTCTAATTTGTTGCCATTTCTTCTGATCAGAATGTCAAGGAAGAGTGGTGTGTTGTTGTTTTAAGTTCCTTGATTAAGTTATTTTCTGCTTGATTATTGTCTGATGTTAATCCTTGCTTATCTGGCTTTTGACTACAGGTAGTCCTCAATTTATAACTAAAATTGAGCTCAAATTTGAATCACTACAGTTGTTAAATTAATAACATGGTTATTATGTGAATCTGGTTTCCCCATTGACTTTGCTTGTCAGAAGGTTGTAAACGATGATCACATGGCTCCAGGACACTGCAACATAAATGTGAGTCAGTTGTCAAGTATCCGAATATAAATATAAATTATGTGACCGGGGGATGCTGCAATAGTCATAAAAATGATCTTCACTTTTTTCAGTACTGTTGTAATGTCTAACGATCACTAAATGAACTATTGTAAGTCGAGGAGTACCTGTCCTAGAGAGAATGAGTTTTGATCTTTTTGTTTCCTTCTTAGCTTTTTTATTGGTTTTTTTGAATGGTATGTAAATGTAGTTTATCCCTATGTATGTATTGATGGCGTATTTGTCTGAGTGTCAAGGTTTCAGGAATTCCCTAGTGGTTTTTGGATTTAGCTTGGTCTAGGATGCAGTTTTCCAGCTGAAGCTATGGTTGAATCTGTCAATGTGTTGTGAGATTAAGCAGTATTATGTTGTATATATATATTCATAGTACAGGTAAATGTACACACAAACATGAATACACACACATCTATTTTCATGTATGTGTGATTAGTAAAGAGATTAAGGATTAACATGAGAGGCAGTTAAGCAGAAAATAATACCGTATCAAGGAACTACTGAGATAAACAAGCAAACAATCAAGCAGGAAACAGTATCTTAATTAAGGAACTATCCAAAAGAAAAACTACCGTATTTTCCGGCGTATAAGACGACTTTCTAAACCCTGAAAATCTTCTCAAAAGTCGGGGGTCGTCTTATACGCTCAGTCGTCTTATACACCGGAAAATACGGGTATTCTATTTTATTCCTTTATATAAGCTGAGGATGCAATGGGGGCGGCGGCCGGGAGCCGCTGCCTCCCGTCCTGCTCCCCCTCCCTGGACGCGATGGGGGCGGCGGCCGGGAGCTGTTGCCTCCCGTCCTGCTCCCCCTCCCTGTCCGTTCAGCTGAGGACACGATGGGGGCGGCAGCCGGGAGCCGCTGCCTCCCGTCCTGCTCCCCCTCACCACCCATTCGGCTGAGGACACGGCGGCCAGGCTGGGGGTGGCGTGGACTCCCGACGATGCTGCAGTGGCCGCTGCCGTGCCGCCGCCACTAGAGCCGCTGCCTCCCGTCCTGCTCCCCCTCCCCGCCCGTTCGGCGCCGTCTGCCTTTCATTCTCTCTCTCTCTCCTAACCTGGAGCGAGAGGGAGAGAGAGAAAGAGAGAAAGAGGAAAGAAAGAGAAGAGAAAGAGGAAAGAGAAAGAGAAGAGAGAGAGAGAAAGAGGAAAGAGAAAGAGAGAGAGGAAAGAGAAAGAGGAAAGAAAGAGAAGAGAAAGAGGAAAGAGAAAGAGAAGAGAGAGAGAAAGAGGAAAGAGAAAGAGGAAAGAAAGAGAAGAGAAAGAGAGGAAAGAGGGAAAGAAAGAGGAAAGAGAAAGAGAGGAAAGAGAAAGAGAAAGAGAGGAAAGAGAGAAAGTTAGAGGAAAGAGAAAGGAAGAGAAAGAGACAGAAAGAGAGGAAAGAGAGAGAGAGAAAGTTAGAGGAAAGAGAGAAAGAGAAAGAGAAGAGAGAGGAAAGAGAGAAAGAGGAAAGAGAAAGAGGAAAGAGAGAAAGAAGAGAGAGGAAAGAGGAAAGAGAGATAAAGAGGGGGAGAGGAAAGAGAAAAAGAGGAAAGGGAGAGGAGAGGAAAGAGAGAAAGAGGAAAGAGAGAAAGAAAGAGGGGGGAGAGGAAAGAGAGAAAATGAGGAAAGAAAAAAGATTGAGAAAAGAGAAGAAAGAGAGAAAGGAAAGAGAAAGAGAGGAAAGAAAGAGGAAAGAGAGGAAAGAGAAAGAGAGGAAAGAGAAAGAGGAAAGAGAGAGACAGAGAAAGAGAGAGGAAAGAAAGTTAGAGGAAAGAGAGAAAGAGGAAAGAGAAAGAAAGAGAGAGAGGAAAGAAAGGAAAGAGAGAGAGGAAAGAGATAGAGAGACTCTTTTGACATCTAAAATGAAGATAACACTGCATATATCCTTTTTTACCTTTATTTTATATATATACACACAAACATACACACACACACACACACATATCATAAAGGTAAAAAAGGATATATGCAGTCTTATCTTCATTTTAGATATCAAAAGGGTTTTGCTGCTCCCAGTGTTTTGTTTTCGGTGGGAAATGTGTCCAAGTGGCTCTTTGAGTGTTTTGGGTTGCCTACCCCTGATATAGCCCAAACTCTATATTTTAACTGGAAAAGTTGGGGGTTGACTTATACGCCCAGTCATCTTATACGCCGGAAAATACGGTACATCCCACCATCAGTAGCAGGGCAAGCAAATCCCACCCATCACTCATATTATTTAAACTGGTAAGGAAATGTTTGCAAGCAAACAACCAAGAGAGCATTAAGGATTCCACAGTTCAACCCTGAGCTAGCTATATTCTCTTCTATTGATATTATATATTACACTAGATAAGAAGTGTAGATCTTCCTTTCCTTATCCTTATCATTTTCTATAAAGGATGATTCAAAGCATCTTGTATTACTGTGTGGTTTGGATATATTATTATTTTGGAGAGAAAGGCTGTGCAGAGATTGGTGAGAACGGCAGAAAAATTATTAGATGTTCACTTCTATTCAAGACACGGCATATAAGCGCTGCTTGACCAGGGTCCGCAATATTGTCAGGGATGTTACACATCTTCTCCATGACCAATTTTCTTTGTTAACTTCTGGGAGGAAGCTTCATGGTATCCAAAGCAGAACAACTAGATTCTGTAATAACTTTGTACCATATAGTATCAACCTTGTTAACTCTCAAGACTCTTTTTTCCTTTGACTCCATGGATGTTAGAGAAAAGGTACTTTTACTAGAAATACTGAGTGCAGCGTGAACAAGGCATGCTCTGAAGGAAAACTGTGTGAAAATCGTATATTGAAAGCAATCCCCAATGTCCAAAACCTTCCCCCTGGCCAGAGCAGTCCAATCCAGTCCTGGT